TACGATATGTTAATACACAATTGTATTCCTTAGTACCACAGGGAGTCAAATGAGGCCGTAATGTGGTCATTTGTTTATCCCGGCCCAGTGGCGTAACGGCGATGGGGTCGGGGGCCCAGTGGCTTTCTGAAATTTGAGCAATTCCAGTAATGGCGCCAGCGGGGGGGGGGGGGGGGGGGGGGGTGTAAAGTCAGGGGAATTCCCCCACCCCACCCTATCGGACAGGCCTCTACATCCAGTCGTCCGACGCCATGACGACGTCGTCGGATCAAAAATTTAAATAAATTTTTGGGTCTCATTCGCTAATTCCATCGTGGGGTTTTAGATCGGAATTTGCTCGTTTTTTAATCATGTTTGTCATTTGTTATTCAAACGACGAATAAATGATATAATGTCAGTGGTGGATCCATGAATTTGAAATAGAGTGGGACCAGGGAGGAACTTTCAAAGATGGGGGGGGGGGGTTTAATTTATTATTGTGGCACCTCCGGATTACGGGAAATGGCACTGACAGACTTAAAATGGTGAACATAATTTTCATTTTATCTCCATTTAAAAAAAAAAAAAAATGAAAAATCCAGTGGAGGTCCCGGACCGGCAGAGCGCCCTTTAATCCCCACCACACTGGATATAATATGATATAGGCCCATGTCCTACAGTCGATGCCAACACATTATGCTGTTAAGTACCGTATCAACAAAACCATTTTTGTTCAGGGTGATAGACCCAGGACCATATTGGTGGGGACCCCTTCGGGTCGGGGCCACCACACGTTACGCCACTGTCCCGGTCTGTGTGAGCTGTGAGAAATGTGATGAAGCCACCTTCAATTATAAAGATTTCCATGGAATGTTAAAATACTGTATACTGTAGGTGAACATAAACAATATCAATACAAATGCTTTTATATTTCTTGACTAACATTTTGAAGACCTAAAACTTGAAATATATATATTTTATGAAACTGTTGTTATTAACATTCGTTGGATAATTCCTCAAAATCGTCACGTATATAAATAGCGTTAGGCCTATATTAGTACTCAGAATTATGGACTCCTTATAATACGTGGATGGAATAACAGAAAACGTGTAAATCCCAGTCACGAAGAGCACATGATGTTGATTAAAATGTATTAAATATACATAATAACAATGAAAAAAGTCACGAGATAATGCCGCAATCACATCTGATTCGTCGATATTATGATACAGTAATCTATTTTTAGACGTGCGCCAACAACGCGCTTAATGATCATTTGCCGATTGAATACCGAGGCCTACGTTGGCGGCTCGCTTTAACAAGCCAGTGTGTGAATTGTACGGTACCGAATTACACACATTCAAAAATAAATAGATACAACAGTAGGATCTCCATTGAGGCACAAAACACGCATTGAAACTAAAGGTAGGCCAAAGTGGTTAATGATTTGCTAAGATGACGTTTTTGCTAGCATGTGTTTTTGGTGTATCTAAGGGCCGCAAATGATCAGCTTTGCTGGATGGGCTACCCTCCTTAAA